TCTGTTAATTGCCGTATTACATGTTTGTGACATGGTCCTAATATAGAACGTGATATTAGGAAATTAGGATTCAATTTCCTTGCAGGGATTATGACCTTTTGCTCAACAAAGGTAAGCTCTAAAATCCCCGTGTGTTACAAATCGACTAATTGGAACTGTGCTTTATTTTAAATTGTTAGTGTTGATTATTTACTGATTTTCATTACCTTGAAGTTCATAAAACACACCACGTTTAGTTTAGTAATATTTCGTAATAGACTCAATAAGAACATTAAATAAGTAGATATACATAAATAGTAAAAGCTCATCAAATATTCGGAAGTGAATATTTGTTTGTGAGTTGAACAGCACACATAAATCAAAAAATAAATACATAAAATTTTAAGTTATAAGTTAATAAGTTATATAGCAGACTTGCAAAAATCAGAACGAACTATAGGGATCTTAATTAAAAAATCAATGAGTTGTATAATAGAATAACTATTTTTTAAATCTCCTTGTTGGTGTTGGTATTCTTTTATTTTCTTTTTATAATCATCGTAGGTTCTATAATTTTGAATTACTTCAGGTACCACGGCAATAATTTTTGTTACTAAGTAAGAAAAGCATCTCTGACCTATGGTCTTTTCTCGCCTTGTTACTCGCATGTTTTGCCTTTGTGATAGTGTCGAATAATCGTGCTCGAGTAGAGACATCCCAAGAGACCGTACAACATTTTTACGTGCTTTGTATCACAAAATCCCCTGGCATTCTTGAATATTGGGAGAAGGGATTTCAATTTTTTATTAAGTTTAGTATATTTCTAAGTCAATGTGCTTGTCCATGTAGATACCGAGGTATATAACATAATCGGGGAAAACTGTCTCGATAAACTCATTTAGTTTAGTCTAGACTCGAAGTTTTGTACGCGAATCACAGGAGAATGGGAGGAAAACAGTTTTTGAAAAGTTTAAAGCTAGCTCTTAATAGGAAAAGTATTGTACAACAATTTTAAGTCATTTTCGACATTGTTTTTGAGCACAGCCCATAATTCATCAGTATAGAAAATCGCAGTACCATATGGAAAACCCAAAATATTCCCATTTGAGTTTACACGAAATATATTGTTAATGTACAAAACAAAGACAATTGGACCCAATACAGTTCCCTGTGGAAATACGTATTCCGCCTTTCTTTCGCATCCTGGATGACACATTGTGTTCGATCACTGAGATAACTTGACTTTAATTTTAAGGCTACTCCCCTAAATCCTATACCCTCCAAAACATCAATAAACTTGATTTACGCTATCAAATGTTTTCTTAATATCTAAACAAATACAGAGTGATTTAAGATTTCTATGTAACGATTTATAGATTAACCTGTTATATTCTCGAAAATAGATGTACTGAGTGACACAAGAAAGTGGGAACACTATAAGACTGGGAGCGCTTTGAAACTTGGAAGGTTCACTTCGAGTGGATTGAGTGCATAATTCTACCCATGATAGGAATAATTTCAGCAATTTTTTATTTTTATTATTGATTTTGCAAATATTGTCCACGCCGCTGTGACAAGAAAAAAATATTTTTTATACGGCAGTGTAATGTTACAAAATGTTTCTTCTAACTAATGGACATCTTAATTTTTAAGATAAATTAATATGCATTTTATAACGCTCTTGGTTTCTAATGTTTTGTCTCAATAACATAAAACTTAACTAAAAACACGAAAAATCTCCTATTTATTCCATCTTTTAGCTGAAAAAAGAATTATCTTGCAGCCGTGCAAAAGTGGGACAAGTTAATGTGAAAATACAAACGTCCCTGGAGATTTGTATAAAAATTGCATCAAACCGGCGCATAAAAGACGACCATTTCCGTCTGTTAGATTTATTTAGCAGCCTGCATCGGCCTTTGACAATCAGCGTCTCGTCTACACGGTCCCTCTTCAAAAAGGCACCGGGCAAGATTAAACTTGTTCGCATAGCCGTACGGCGGACAAATATGCCGGACCGTAGTTTTTGTTTGAGTTGCTCGGACCGAGGCAAAGTTTATCTTTCCGGAATACAAAACAGGAATAGTTGCCTCTTGTGTCGGTAAACTGCACGAGTCGAGAAAAGGCAGCAAAAAAAAAATAGGTGCATTTAATTCGTAATTCCGAACACGAACGATTACGTGTGTCGTTTGCATCTGGACGACTCTAATTAAAAGCGGCTTATGAGTTTATCCACAGAGAATATGAGAGAATTGCTAAAAGCTCTAAGACTGTAACATAAAAGGTAGAAATTGTAGTGAGTCAGACATCTGAGGATCAAGTAATAATACAGGTCACGAAAAATACCGTTATTGTAAGTGGGATAGAGTTACACCGGGACTCTTGAAATGTTATAGAGTGACAAAAATGTACGTTGTTGTTGCGAGATGAAATGAAAACCTGTTTGGGTTCCCCCTTCCGCCCCCAAATAGCGAGGAAAAAAAAACAGAAGGGGTCTTGTATTTATTAAAAAAATTATGGCATATTCGACCGAAGAGAAGGTTCAAAATTAAGGGTATTTCTCGGGTAGTTTGCCCGAGAAATTATTCGCAGATTTACATTATTGTTTGAAAATAAGCCAAATAAATGGCCATAGCGAACGCCGAGACTGGGAAATTTGTGCTTTAACAAGTGTGCAATAGTATTCAAACCTTCGGGGAAGTTGAGATAGAACCAAGAAATTGTAAATTACGGACCAAACAGGAAATTTTACCAGCAGATTATGATTGGACATTTTTTACCGAATATTTCATTCACCGATGAATCTTCATTTTCGTTACATGGTCGTCATAATCGGACAGTGGCTGTTGGGTATTCACAAGAGAACCAACACATGTCTATTCCTTAAAGGACTTAGTTTCCGGAAAAAGTAAACGCAAAGCTGGTATTTTAAGAAGCCATACTATTGGTCCTTTCTTTATTGATGGGAATTTAAATACAAACAAATATCTAGATTTTTTTGCGTGATCAAATAATTTCAGCTGTTCAGACTCTTAATATAACTGGTAATAGAATTTGGTACCATCGAGATGGTTGCTCCACACATAACGCTAGAAGAGTACAGGATTTTCTGCATGCCACGTTCCCTAATTGCATAATAATAAATTGCCACCTAGATCCCCAGATCTAGCACCAAATGATTTTTCTCTTTGGGGTTACGTTACTAGCACTATTTAGAAGCACACACGATTGTGCAAATTATTTAGAGTAACTTCGTAATAAAATGCTATTAGCAATGTTACTGCTGAAACACTGGCCAAAGTTCTACAAGAAGTTTATGATAGTTTGGGATATTCCTTAGCTAAAAATGGTGGACTTTTTTAAACTTTTATAAAATATATATTTTTTGTTTTAGTTCTATTTTTAGAACTTATTTTTCATTTTTCATGTCGGGCATACACCACGACATGGAAACAAAATTAAAATCAACGTTCTTTGTTTTTTAGTCCAAACGAGAAGGTATACGAAAACAAAGAACAACGAATAGGTATATTTTTTAAGCGTTGTAAAGAAATACGTGAAACATTTAAAAATTTAATTCCAAATACGATATTGCGCGAAAGAAATCTGTACCAAGAATGACGCACCCTTCGTAAGAATTAAATTATAGTAAAAACTTATCCCCGACTGAAACAGTATGGAACCACCTACTGTAGGAGGACCCTTAAATTATTGGAACTGAGGAAACGTTTGGCAATATAGCAAAATATTTGCATCTCACTTGGGTGCTTTTAAAATCTTCGTTTAACTTTGTCGCACTAATGCTAACCCTATAACCGGATAATATTTTTCGTGACCTATGAACAAAATTCCCTTGCTTTGTTGTGTTATGGAAACCGATTTTACGGTTTTATTTTTTTACAAATTTTCAATTCAATACTGCGATTGAGGCAACGGCGACTGTTTTATGTACTGAGCTTGAATCTTATTGAGATCTCTACATAACTAGTTATCTGATTAACTTTTATGACTTTCCGATTCGAATAATAAAATCTGAAAATAAAAGAAGATCCATTTCGTGTTGGTATTTATTAAAACAAGATCTTTATTATAATTGAAGTTCTGATTGGTAATTTTAATTTTCTGTAACCTGATAAATAAGCATTATACATACATGTAAATCCTGTGACAAATACGCCACTATACGATCTGGAAAACCCACAGGAGAATAGTTTTTACACACTTCTTCGCCGTGTTATTCTTATCTTTCTATATTTTTTTCATCAGTAATCTTGTTCATAATCCCTTTAGTTGTTACTGTGGCATTTATTGTTAAAAGGTTTTTAAACATTTTATAATCGGTGTTAGCAAAATTGGGACAGCATAACATTTGACTTATATATCTTCACCTTGGTTTTGAGTAGGAGGGTTATATCTGAAGTTAGAGAAACGATGCAAACTTGAACTTTTTACAATGATCATTATGCCTTTGCCCCTTGAATATAAATGTAATAATATCATCGCATAGAAATTTTTCAGGAAAAATCATATAAACTATCATATTTTTTGCGGTACAGCGGATCGATGAGAAAAAATTAGTTCGAATAATATTAAGTTCAGCATCCTTCTATCCAACTAACCAAAGTGGTCGGTACTAGACGTTTTCTGTAATTATTTTGGTTGTACCTTATGTTGGCAAATAACAAAAATTCTTTTCCATTTAGCTGTCTTAAGTTTGAGAGTTTTTATATTTTATACTATGAATTGGAACATATTTTCCAGTATTTTTTCTTTTTTATATTTTATTTTTTATATATTTTTTACTTATTTGCTTCAATTGATTACATTGCTTCATTAGATAGAATTTTACTTTACCTCCAATAAACAAACCAACAAAATATGTTAACTACCACATGGGGAACTGCATTATCTTAGGACAATGACAGGGCGTGCGAGAGTTACATAAACGCATTGGCAACAACGAGCGTGGTGAAGGAAAATGAGATGAAAGTGCAATGACATACCGTACTCCGCGCATTGCGTACCTTAGACGACCCTATCTCCCTCGTACTGATGCCCATTTTTTTATGCTGCCGCAATTGTACCGGGTAGATGATCTGGTAGTAGTGCGAACCGATATTCCTGACCATCTCCTGGTTCTGCGTGTACTCGCGCAGCAGCCTTTCCACCTCACCTGCAACAATAAGGAACTTTCATGGAAAAATTCCAATGACGCATTTTCATATCGCTTATAAAAAGGTTGACTATCCTCTTATTGATATAATGCAAATGTTCGTACTAGTATGTGGCACCACAACTGAACTGTTCGCCTACGAAAAGAATTATTAAACAATTCCGTCTTGAAAGTAAAATACTTTTATTTTAGCATATTAACCATCGCAATTTCAAATTTTCGCGAGTAAATCGAGATCTCTATCTGACGTTACCACGTAACACTTACTTCACCAAGTAAATAGACTATTAGGTTTAAGAGTGTTTATTAATTTTGCCACTGAGTTATTTAAATTATAAATTATTTATTTAGAGAATCTAGAGAAAAGTTGATTAAAATATGGGCTGCAGAAGATTCAGAAGCTCAAGCCAAATTAGCAAATGACGTCTCACTTTGGCAAGATCAGATGTAGAAATTAATTCGAGGAAAAATATATGAACAAATCAGAACAGGATTAAAAGAATTAATAAGAGCCACTGTTCGGTTGAACTATTACATAAGTGTACAATTTGCTCTGAATTAAGTCTGTTATGACTCTCGTCTCGTCAAGGAGAAAAAGTAGATATCTCCAACTATTGCATAAACTACAAAAAATTGAGAGGGGACGCGGCCTACGAAACTGATCTGATAGCACTCTGAAGAAGCAGTATATAAACTAACCAAAACTACAACAAGGCATATATTAATTAATTAATACACTAGAAATCCAGAAGAACAGTGCCGATAAAATTCACACTGCGGAAGTGAATTAATATAGGTAAGTCATACCGACAGTGTGTCCTATTTAAGAACTGTACACCCTTGTAAAATATTTGTTTATGGTTAGACTTAACTTAACTTAACAACTGAGGCTATTTAACAAAAGAGGGAGAAGAGAGGGGTACTATTAGGGAATTTTACAAAAATAAATTGGCAACGATTGATTATTCAGGGGTACTTAGAACCCAACTATACCAATTTTTATAATATTTCAATATAGGGTGTTTCAAATATCCTTTGCGCCCCGCTTAAGGCTGTACATCGTTGGAAAATCTTTGATTAAGGTTTGATTTTGATTTTTTCTTGTTTGCTAGATCTCTCAAAAACTCAGTAAAACCTTATGTTTCTTATTACATTAACCGGAAGTCATGGTTAACTGGGACTGATGTTTAATATCAAATATGGAAGGAAATATGGAATTCTCATTCAGGACTACATAAAACCTAACCATACTAATTTCCATGAAGTTAGAATACAAGGTGCTTGAATTATTGCGGACGCCTCTCTCAAGCATTGCTAGTGTAGAATATTTGTTTATGGCTACAATTTGATAATTCTTGTTTGCTAAAAGTAACTAGACCAATGATCAAAGTTTTTAATGTTTTAAAAAAATAAATATTGTAAACCTTGTAAATAACGATTATTTTGTATGTGATTTTAAGATGTTACAAATTTTAATTATACAAGTTTCAAAAATAATGATAAGAAAGACTTTTTCAACGACATTTATTTTTTAGTATCATTCTAAAACCACAGCATTAATAAATCTTAGTATCTGAAAGATGTAAACAAAATTAAAATATAAATTAGAGAATGAATTTGACTGTCGAATATTCGCTTCTCCATGGCCAACATGGTTTTACAAAGGACAGTATGCTGGCGTTAATCAATTTCGATATTTCTGTTATTTTCATTATTAGATGAGCATTGTGAAGTCTGTTTAGTTCATATCTAATCCTCTCTAATCATATTTAATTTGAAACAAATCGTTGGTGTCTTTCAGTGAAATCTATCCAACAAAAAAAGAATGATTCTACAGGAGTAATGCTTAAGCGAGGCACCCACGATATTTCGAGCACCCTGGATTCGAACTTCATGGAAATTAGTATAATTAGGTTTTATGTAGTCCTGAATAAGAACTCGTTGACACTTCATTCTTAGATAAATCCCTAGTAGCCCTCCTAGATATTTGATATCAAAGATTAGTCCCAGTTAGCCATACTTCAGGTTGATGCCATAAGAAACGTAAGATTTTAGTGCGTTTTGAGATATCTATCCAACAAAAAAAATATTAAAATCAAACAGTAATCAAAGATTTTACAGCAATGTACAGCCTTAAGCGGGGTGAAAACGATATTTCTATATATATTGAAACACTATAAAAATTGGTATAGTTGGGTTCTATGTACTACTGAACAAGAATTCGTTGCTAATTTATTTTTTAAAACATCCCTAAAAGTAATTTTCCCTTCTCCCTCTTTTTTGTTAAATGGTTTCAGTTGGCCATGATGAAGCAATAAGCAAAACAAATTTTAACAAGCAAAAACAACAAACATTTTATAAGGGTGTACAGTTCTTAAGTGGGAAACACTGTATAAGATTATCTAAATTTCAACCCTTTTTGATACTCCGTCATTTCATTGTTGATGGCCCAGAACAATTATGATAGGCACAATAGGGCCGGCGTAGGTAGGTTTACTGCAGCCATTAAGTTGAAATGAAATATCTCGAAATACACTATACTGAAGAGTATTCTGCATCTATTTCATTACCAATTTAAGATCCATTACGCCCAAACAAAATCCAACCCCATGTCGCTGCAAAAAACGGTTCAAACTTACAGTTGACGAAACTGTTGTTCGACTTTTGGCGAGCATGTCGTAACTTGCACATTCGAAACTTCATTTTAATATCGCAGTCGTTGCGCACAGTTTTATGCATGCAAAACCCGTAAATATCAGTTCGGAGCGGTACGGCAGCGGTAAGGAGATTTGATTAACGACGGTGAGCCGTAACTATGAAATCGGGTAGCGTTTTGGCCGAACCTGATGCCGATTTGCAAGAAAACCGCATAAATGTCTGCCGAAAACCCGGATCTAATCGACGCGCGGGATTTATTCGGTCAACATAATTTTTCGATGAAAAATATACGCCGGGCGGCGTAATCGAGATAAATTCCACGTTTTTAATGGTTTATCAGATCCTACCGTTTTTGGAATTATTCGGAGCTGAACGGAGATTCAAAATTTCGGACGATTTCCGCTCAAACCTGATTTATTTCATCAGATTCAATGTGTCATGGAATTGATATATAAACTAATATATACTATAAGTCAACCGAATGTTAATGACACTGACATCTCTTCTATTAAATTTCATATGTAAGCTAAAAGATTTTGCTTTCGACACTTCCATATTTCTTTTCCTTATCTGATCGGTATGTGCAATTTCTACTTAAGTTCGAGACAGAAGTTGCTTTATGAAATGGCTGTAAGGAAAATACAAAATTAAATCTCATTGGTTGAAAGAATGTTTAATCAAGAAATAATTTTATATCCGACACCAACTGACTAAATGCGCTTCGATTGGGACCTGGATTAGTTAATTTTATATACCGCGTGTCCAAAAAGTCTGGAAACGGATGAATATCTCGAAAGGGACAGAATCGATCAAAAAACTAAAAAATACCTTGAAATATAATATAAAATAACTAGTCAATGACAATAAACCTGAACGCATCCTCATTCACTGATGGTGGAGATGTTTTTTTCATTTTCCGCTGATAGCATAATCGCATAAAATACGATTTATCTTGCTTCTCGTGACACATAGGTAAATATGTACGATTTATTGTAAGATATTACCATCTGAAAATTAAAAAAGTATCAACAACTTGTTATAAGACATTACCGCCTGACAATTATTGCTCGCAATGTGCTTCGCGAGCTACTAGACTGCTCTATCAATTTCATATTTTAATAAACTCGATAACAGTCTAGTAGCCAGTGAATAAAATTACGAGGAATAATTGTCAAACGGTAATGTTTCTGATCTAAAAATAATGGTTAGATATTATTCTGTTGCGAAGGTATGACGGTACAAATAACATGGTCATGCGAAGAGGATGTGCAGTAATTGATTGAATGAACTCTTCCACATCGTGTACCAATCTCAAAGTCAACGGTATTTCAAACAATAACGCGTTATCAACAGAAGCGCTCAGGCCAAAAACTTCAACGAACGAAGAAAGGACCCTGGATGTGTGCCCATATTTGCGTAAGCAAATGAACAGTATGTATGAATGTATTGTGAAGAAATTAAAAGACGGCGAAAAGAAAATGTACAGTTTACTTCTTGGACATGTTTCTCTGGAGAATTCATATCTCAACTGAATGGAGTAAATACCACAACATATATACATACATACACTGGTCCAATGATAATCCCCCATGGGTGAAGGATTGTCATACGCAATATACTCAGAAACTCAATGTTTAAGTCGAAATAGTGGGACCATATTTGATTATTGGTAATTTAACCAGTGAAAAGTACTTAGATTTATTACACAATTAGATAATCCCAGAAATTCGTAATATTGCTAGAATTGCCTTGGTTTCAGCAGGATGTCGCTCAATGTCATATAGCATTGATTGTACCCAATGTGTTAAACACGAATTTCCCCTTGAACTGAAGCCGTGCGATTGAGTTGCCACCAAGTTCACTCAATCTAACACCTCTAAACGAATTTTACTGGTTATACTTGAACACCAGAGTGTACGCAAGGCAACTAGCGAATCGAGGAATTAGGGGAAAGAATGATGAAATTTGAGAAACACCAGAAAGCACTCTGAAGAGATAAGAACACTACTACGTTCACATTGTTATTTCTGAGTTGTACTAAACTTTAGAACAGTCATGCTAGTTATGCTATCTCGGAAGATTGGTAAACATGATTACAACTTTTTTCACGCAGAATTTGAATATTTATCAAGTGAGTGAGGGTATGGGGTCATGTTCATTGTCATTAATCAGTTGTTTTATTCAATATTTCAAGATATTTGTATTTGTTTTTAGCAATTTTGTGTTTCTCAAGATATTCTACCATTTCCATACTTTTAGGGCGCCCGGTATATTGACCCCGAACATACTGCCCACTCTTATAACGCACAAGAAGATGAAATAATTTACAGTCAACATATATT